CCTCGAAGGCACTTCTTAATGGCGACCTGGTTGCGACGGTGCCAAGACGCATTTTCTGCTGGCGGCAAGTTTTCTAGCAAGTCTCCGAAGTCTACCCAACCGTTGCACTCGTCTTATGAGGTGACTCATCCGATGAGCCAGTCGGAGAGCCCATCGCTGGGGAATGGAAAGTGCCGCGGGGCTTTAGTGAGCCATTCCGAGCAGCGATGTTTGCCGGATTCGCTCATGAACGACACGCTGAGGTGCTCATTCCGCAGAACCTGCACTAGGGGGCCCCTCTCGGACAGGAAGCTGAGGGCAGGTTCCTTCCGCGACACATTGAGGACGCGCTGACGGGCAAGAACATCATCATCAGCGTGCGCGGCGGCGCAGTCAATGTTACATGTGCCGCGCTGCAGCGTTCAGACCCAGAAGAAGCAAAGGGCCTGTATGCTGGGTTGATCTTCGTCTGGTTAAAGGTGCCCTAGGCCCCCCAGCATCGCATGCCCCCATTCAGCTCACTCGAGAGTAGCAGCGGGTTGCCCCGCAGGAGCGGCGACGGGTCAAGCAGGTGTCCTCACGGGCTCAGGCGCTGCGGGGGCTGCCGATGAGCTAGCGCTCCCAGATGCCTGTACTTTCTCGTGAATGTCGCGGCATTGGCACGCGGCGACTGCGGGGGCAGCTCCCGGCGCCTTCGAGGCCAGTCGCAGCTTAGCATCCGCGCCGCCCTTCAACGAGGAAGCCCCCTTGGATGAACCGCCCAATGACGGCGCCCAGCCTGGCCCCCAATGGGCGGGGCCAGGCGCTGGGCCACGCGGGAATGCAGGATCCAAAAGCATAGGCGCGCTTCCGACATGGGGCGCCGCTGATGCTGCTGCAGCCGCTGCCAGGCCTCTGGAGCTGGAGCGCTGTCTTCATGCGGGTTTCCCCGCACATATGTGGGACTCGTTGCTTCCAGGATCAGCGTCAACTCAACCGGCCCTTTCCATGTGCTTGGCCTGAGCGGCTGCAGGTGACCCTGGCGTGCTCGGAGTTGGGGGTAGATCCACATCATTCCCCGATTTATTATCTAGAGGCTCTGGGCCCCTTGGCGGTTCATCTGCGGGTGCCCCTCGCAGGAGATGGCGCCGCAGGTTCCCCCGCGTCGCTGGCTGCTGGCTCGTCTTGCGGAAGCGGGCCAATTGGCTGATGAGCTGCCATGTACTTGATATGGACACTGGTCTTGCACTCCAAATCGCATTGTGCAGCGTTGCCTCTGCGCCTCTGCTGCGCGCAGCGGTAATTATCCCGCCTATTTCTCTGCAGTTGTATACGACTGTCGAACCTGGGGCAATCTCCATGTCTGCGGTTATCCGCTTGGAGACATCCACGACTATGTCCGTCTTGATGCTGCTGTCGGTCTCGCAGGTGCACTCCGCCTCGGAGAGCGCAGCGCCGCTCGGGCCCACTGCCCCAGCAAGAACCGGAGTGCCGACTCCTCGATCATCCTCTGGAAGGCCATGAGAAGAGGAAGCAGGTTGCCCCGCAGACGGTGTCTCAGACGCCTCTCCATGGTATTACCGGTTGTACTTCTTGAGGCGGTGATTGCTGTCGAGATGCTGCCGCGCTCGCTCGATCCGTGTAGCCTCGTCCTCCGTGGTCTGCTGGTAATCATCTTCGGTCAAGCATTCTGCAGGTGAATGATGGGTCGGGCCCACCGTGCGACCCTGACCGTCTCCATGAGACCAGACCCACAGTGTTTTCTCAAAGCTAGGGCCCCTCGATGGTCGACCCACCGGACGCGCGGGTCTGTGGTCGGCAATTTGTTCGCAAGGGCAGACAAGGCACTGGTAGGTTTAAATGATGGCCCTCTTGAGATCCCTTCTCTCAAGATTGGAGGCCGCCCCGGCGCCCTCGTTTCTGCCGGCGCGAACAATTATGCCGCCGTCGCGCCGCGTACGTTGCGAAGTGAACGCCAGCGACGGATGTCATGCTCAGTCCAGCCTGGGTCGCGCCAGCACTGCATGGCGCTTGGATATATATATATATATATATATATATATATATATATACATATATATATGTACTGGCGAGCCAGCCCATGACCTCCATAGCTGGCAAGGCGCTGCACGCCTCGCGCTGCAGGCTCAGCTGGGCGATCCCCCATCTGCGGCCGGCCCCCCTGCGAGCGCCCCCTCCTTGGTGGAGTCATTGGGGCCCTTGTGTCCCGAGGGCGCGGGCGCTGCGCGCCACTGGGGCGAGCGCGCGAGTGCCCGCGTGAGCGGCTCCGGCAATGGCGCCGCGGGCGATGACTCTTAACTTCCCATTTGCCCTCGTCGTCCGTGCGAATCACCCGTCTGCGCACTGGGCGGCTCGCGAACCTGCCATGCGCCGCGAACGTGGAGTGACAGTCCTCGTCGCGCCCAAGTTCGCATTGGACGCGCGCGGAAAGATCACCAGCATCTCGCGGGCTTCCCCGCAGAAGGTCGTCGTCGTGATATTCTCGCTCTATCGGATTGCCGATGACCTGCGGATGGAGCATCAATGATACCTCCTCCTCCGTCGCTCGAATACTGGCGTCAGAATCCGCGGGTGCCCCCGCCATGTCGTGGTCTACCTCGGCGGGCGCGCGGAAATCCTCGATGAACTTGACGCGCGCAGGTTGCCCCGCGATGGGCGCGCCCAACCAGTCCGCCGGGTTGATCCCATCATGGCCAACATAGGTCTCCTCGAAGAGCTCGTCGGCATATCTCTCGAGGGACATGCTGGCACTTAGATGCCTGGCATCCATGCTATGGGCAGCGGCAGCGGGGGCGTCTGCAAGGTCGGCTAATAGCGTCTCAGAACCGACATACTGTATGTCCGAGTCAGCCTGAACCAAATGTATTGACGGACCCCTGCCTCTCCCATCGCCTCGGTGGCATTCACGACGGAAATGTCGCGTGCTATGGCAGATTTCACAGCCCATGCCCTTGCCCATTCCTGAGGTATGCCATGGCCTCTACCTGCCCCCAAGAATACAACTTCGTAGTGTGGCCCAGTAAGGGGTGGCAAGGATGCCAGCATACCTCTACCATGCAGTCGCCGTCGTTTGCCCTTACCCTTGCCGCGACCCTTATCCTGCACTCTGAGTGCCCCTCGGAGAGTGCGTCGTACCTTACGGGCTGGCTTCTTTATAAACGTATCCAACGGCGTTTGTGCTTCTGGTATCCATGTGGTTTTTCTGTGATATACGTAGGCATGTCAGAATGGTCAAGGGCAGCAGCTTCGTCATCTGATGACGTGCTGGTGTCTGTTCCGAATCAAAGTCAGACTCGGCGGGTCGCCCCGATGAGCCAGCACGGGTTGTGGCCTATCTAGGAACCGCCGTTGCCGACGGCCCCTGATATCTAGTCCAGGAGTCTTGCGACCCCGTAGGCGGGTCACCACTTCGGGCTAATAGGGTGGTGGCCTCTGTTGGCTGCGGCTCATCATTCCGGACGTCTGTAGCAGGTTTCCCTGAATTGGTCTCTGTATGAACAATCTTCGGTGCGGTGGCCGTGACTAAGGAGACCATCGATGTTGCCAAGGGTTCGCTCGGAGATGTGGGCATATGTCCTCATGCGTTCCAGTGGGGCATCAAATTGTCGTTGGTTCCTCGGCGTTTGGTGGTTGAGTGACTGTCGGAGTTGCTGTGCGCGCGACGTCCCCACTCCGAAAGCCCTGCACAGGATGACGGCTACGATATGGAAGTTGGGGATTGTAGAGTTTGCGGTATCAGCCTCGTAGCGGGCTGTATCGAAGCGTGCGAATGCCTGGTCGATCCGTTCTCTCGCATGGACGCAAAAGTCGATGATAGCCGTTCCCGAGTTGAGTTGGCGCTCCTCCTCTAAGGTCTCCAACTTCGGACTGAAGAGGACATGCCGTAGGTGGCGCCATCGGTGTGGCGGCCACCAATATGAACGCCAACGTTGATGACTGAGGGAGGTACTCTCATGGCTATGGTCCGCGCGAAGCCCCCCAGACCGCGCTGTAATGCCGTAGCCTGTTTGGGAGGGGGTCATGTTGCCTGTGGTCACGCTGATCCAGGCAAGTACCTCTCGAACGAATTCGCGGAACGGTACCTGACCAGCAGGGTCCCAGTGAGGGCCAATTGCTCTTGTGTCGTTTCCGCCACGCTGCATGTGTCCCACAGCACGCCCGCTACCAACCCACCAAAGGCCAAAAACGGCAATGCCGACCCAATGGCCATGTTTGTCGTGGTCGGACATTCGTGGCTGGGGTTTGTGGTGTGCTGTCGTTAGCCTGCGTGGGGGTGGAGGCGCCACAATGTCGTACCGCATGTTGCCATGCATGGTGTCTTCGAACAAGCTTCCAACAGGAGTAGGAGGGTGGACTTCAGGAGTGCAGTAGCGCAGGGAAGTGGGACTCATGTAAGAGGCCCCCGTGACAGCGGAGGTGGCGCTGCAAGTGTCCTTGCAGTTGTGCGTAGTTAGATACATTCCTCCGCGCAAACCCACTGCACCGTGATGCTCCACCATGTCAGTAGTCCACCAGATAGCGCCGTGGATGGGAAGGAATGGAGCAAGAGCTGACCACCATAGGCCAGCTCCGCTACCAAGTTTGCAAGGGGTTGGGAGGCCCACCCGGCAGCTTCGCCTAAGGCGAAGCCCATATCCAACTCTGTTGTGCCGTAGTACGATAATCTCAGAAGTAGGAGATCGTCGCGGGAGCGACGGGCCATCCCAAGCGAATTTGTGTTCGGTCTCGATGGCAAGTTGTGTGACTCGCGATGAGGCACCGTCATATCTTGGCGGCCGGCACGCTTGAGTACAAACGGCCGCGGACAAACGCTCGCTATGTGTTTTCTTTTTTTTTTTGTCTCTCTCTCTCTCTCTCTCTCTGTTGCTCCAACTCCCTTAAGAGTCCCCCATCCTTCTGCTGTCTGTCTTCAAGCCGGATCGACCCGCGAGGGCCCCTTAGGCCCGAGACAAAGGCGGAACCGCACGCTAGTGAGACACACGCGACGCCAACGTCGCAGGGTTTCCTGGCGCCCGCGCGGCCATGCGGGGCACATGGAGCAGGGCGTGGACGCCCTGCTGCATCAGGTCGAAGTGCTGCCCGTGCAGGTTGACCTTCGGAGACAACAAGCGGCCACAACGACAGCAAGGACACACCCTGGGGGACCTATTGCGCATGCCAATACAATCGTAGGGACACCGAGGCCAGCTCAGTACTGGTTGTGGTCGATGTGGGCGTCCCACGACGGTTAAATCGATCACACTCACAACCAAAACGCGTACGTCGAGGTCGGTGGGTTCTGCCCCCCGGGAGGCCCTCCAGTAGTAAAATCAAAAGTGGCATGACAAAAAGTTCTCGCAGGTCCGCTCGGATTTCTGGGATCGGCGTCGCCAGAGGCGTCGCCACCAGGGCCCAGGAGCCGATCCGAAAAATCCGCGTGGAGCTCCGAAAGCTCCTGTGTATGTCTATGTCTTCGATCCATGGGAATCACTGAGCGGTGGCTGTGATTCTTCATCGGCAGCTTTAATCGGCAGAAAGAGGATCGGCAGAAATCGGCACGCTAGTAAATAAAGCGTGCATTGAGAAACCGAGAGACCAGTCGGAATCCGAGCTCGAACCACATCGAAATCGGAACCCATCGAAGTCAGATCGCATCGAGTCGAAAGGAACCCTGCTTTGAGGTGCCCAGCTGGCCAGGTGCGGGTCGCCGATCCCGTGCACCTCCGTCGGGCCGGGCGTGGGGAGCAGGCCGCCGGTCGTGCCGCCCGTCGGCAGGGTCGGGTGGGGCGTCGGCGCGCTCGTCGGCGCGGGCGTCGGCGCGGCCGTCGGAGAGAAGGTCGGATGTCGAGGAACAAAAAAGGATCGGAAGCGAGCACGGGGGGGAGGTGAGGAGGGGCGGGCCATCTCAGAAGGCTCTGAAGTCTCCCAAACTTCAGAAAAGTGTCCCAAGCCATTCCGGATGCCACAGAGAACCTCCCAGAAGGCGCGAGGGCTTCTCAGAAATCCCGCCGCCTTCTGAAAGGCCTTCCTCCTTTTCTCACTTCCCCCCCTCGCTCGCCGCCGAAGTGACATCCGCCACCGTGCCCTTGGCACGAAGTAGAGAGCCCCAAGGCTCTCAGCTATGCTGCTGCTGCTTCAGCCAGGATTCTAGATTCGTAGGGGCCTGAGATCCCGGGTTCCCGGGCGCTCCTGGGGATTGGCGGGGATTCCTGGGAGCGTGTTCTGGACGCCAGGAGGGACCAACATGGGACAAGAAAGCCGCGGGAGGCCGCCTAGACGGTCCAAGAGGGCCCCAGGTCGCCGCATGATCGCTCATGGACGCCCAAGATGGCCTCAGGACGGCCACAGAGGCCAAAGAGCATCCCCAAGAGGGCCCTAAGGGGTCAAAATCATGTACGTATGCTTCTTCGGTGTTGGCTGCTATTTGCCTTCTCTCCTTCTTCAGCTTCCCAAGCTCCAAAACGGTCCAAGAAGCCCCCAACCAGCGTCCTGGCACTGCCCAGGAGGCCCCCAGGACGGCCCGAAGATCCCCCAAGGGGCCCCAAGACGGCCCAAGAGGCCCCTCAGACGACCCAAGAGGCACCCAAGAAGGCCCTAAGAGGGGCCCAAGAGGAGATCAAGAGGGGGAACACGAACGCACATTTCGAGCCTTCCGCCCCAAGATAACACCAAGAGAGCCCCCCCGGAGGCGCCCCCAAGACGACCCAAGAGGCCCCCAAGACTGCAAGAGACTCCCAAGAGGCCCCGCAGAAGCCCGCAAGACATTTGCAACCAAAGTCCCCCGAGAGGCTTCCCAAGAGACCCCCATATGCACCTTAGAGGCATCTTAACCACAGCAGCCCAGGCACAGTGGCAAGATGGGCCGAAAGCCAATCAACTAAATATACACATCTGGAGGTCCGTGCGGACCCCCGAACGTCTATGTCTGTATCGTTCTTTGTTCCCCGGAATAGGGCGTCGGCGCGCTCGTCGGGGCATTCGTCGGCGCGGCCGTCGGGGCGGCCGTCGGCGTGGCCGTCGGGGCGAGCGTCGGTGCAGCCGTGGGAGCGCCCGTCGGCGCGGCCGTCGGGGTGGCCGTCGGCGTGGCCGTCGGGGCGGGCGTCGGTGCACCCGTGGGGGCGCCCGTCGGCGCAGGCGTCGGCGCGGGCGTCGGGCCTGGAGTCGGAACCTCTGTGGGCGCTCTCGTGGGCGCATCCGTGGGTGCCTGGTCGGTGCCTCCCCCCCTCCTCCTCCTCCTCGTCCTCCTCCTCGTCCTCCTCCTCCTCCTGATCCTCCTCCTCCTCTTTCTCCTCCTCTCTCCTCCTCCCTCCTCCCTCCTCCTCCCGTCTCCTCCTCCCTCCTCCTCTCTCCTCCTCCTCCTCCCTCCTCCTCCCTCCTCCTCCCTCCTCCTCCTCCTCCTCCCTCCTCCTCCCTCCTCCTCCCTCCTCCCTCCTCCCTCCTCCCTCCTCCTCCCTCCTCCTCTTCCTCCCTCCTCCTCCTCCTCCTCCTCCTCCGCCTCCTCCCCATTATCATTTTCCCCCTCACCTTCCTCCTAACGCCGCCGTTCTGGTTCTCAGCTGCGCGCCGCCGCAGGGACACGCAGATACATGTCCGGCATCCATTATCACGGCTAGTCGTGGCTGCTGGCTAGCAGCTCATGACACATATAGCCGGACCCTTATATCGGCCAATTGCTTGCATGGATCTCGCACGCGGCTGGAGGACATTCAGCGGAGGCTACGAAACTCGGATCGATTGGGCTGCAGGGTACTGGAGCCAAGCATTCATGAACGAGCAGGGTGGAACGCCACATAGTTCAGTAACAAAAAGGCGGGTTGTATATGCATGTTTCCTACACGTTGACCGCAAACATGCACTTGACACATTGGCGCGCCTCCAAGCGTACTTCAAAAGGCGGGGGCGCACAACTTAGTTTCTATTCCATTGCATCTCGCTCTACACAATGGAATCCCACCAGCCCTCTGGGCGCAGGTGCTCTAGAGCGCTTCGTGTTCCAACCTCCTGCCGGTCCATGCGCGGGAGGTGAACCTCCTCCCCCTTCCCTGCGTTTGGACGGGCTCCCCCGCGAAGTGGCGGGGGGGTATTTTTGGTCCAGAGAGGACCTCTAACAAAAACCCAAGAGAGAGCTCCATGAGGGCCCTAAGTGGACCCCAAGAGAACCCCAAGAGAACCCCAAGATGGCTTCAAGTTTCGAAACGCACGCGAGTTTAATATACAACTCAATGCAGCAGCCTGTACGAGTCATCGAAGCACCCCTCGCTCACCCCTCGTCGAAGCACCATCGTAGCTTGCACGGATCCCACCTTGAACTTCAATGCGGGAAGCTAGTTGTGATCCTTGTTTTCCCGAGTATGGCTGCGCGACTGCATGCGCCCTGTCGCCCCTGATTCACCAACTCCCCTGCTGATCGTTTCTGGATGAGCTGGTGGGGTATTTTTTTTGTCTGCGGGCTCGCGAAGCAAGTCGAAAGCCATCCGAAAACTAGCCGGGCCGCGACTAGGCAGCAAGAAAAGAAAAGGGCAGGCGAAGCGAACGCGCGGGCAGCCACTCAAGAGGACCAGGAACGGCACTCCCAACCCGGTGGGGTGGAAGTCCCCGTGGCGACCATCAAGTAGGCGCAACCAAAATGGCGCGGCGTCGCGACCATGAACACACAGAGGACGATCACCGGTGTGAGTCGGCATAAGGCCCGACCGAAACGAACAGGTCCGACAGGCACACCTGGACGACATCCGTGCCGTGGGCGACACAACAGTATCGTGTCAGCGCTGGCGCGAAGAGGGGGCAGCCTCGTCACAGCCAAGACTGCAAACGGCCGATCCTCTCGTATGTACACCCGGTGGCACAGGCCGAAAGCGAAGTCCATGTAGGAGAAAGCAGCCGACAGGCGCCCAGAGCCACACATGCCGAAGTCCTTGCACCGAACAGGACGGCAGTGTAGCGAGACCCCACGGAACCCAAACGGTCACCAGTGGAGGCTGCCACCATGCAGGAGCAGGCCAGGGGCCACCTGACCACCCATCCCCTGTGCGGCCCTCGCATGGAATTCGAAGCGAAACCTCACGGAACCCTCCCAGTCACCAGTGGAGGCCGACACCAGCCAGGAGCAGGTCAGGGGCCACCTCGCCTGACCGCCCGCTCCCAGTGTGAACCTCGCATGGGATCCAGGCTGTCAAAACACCATCAAACGGCGGTATTGGCGGCAACCCCAGCCGCGTGGGATACACCCGGTGAAACGAGGGAGAGAGAAAGAAGTGCACGCCAGGCACGGTAGGCAACCCGTTGTGGCAGCTAACCGCTGCGGCGATAGGAAACAGGAGACACAAGCATCGGAAGCCACTGAACCCTTTCGGCCATCAGCAGGAAAAGGGGGGGCGTCGGCCTAAGGCAGCCAGTAGGCACCGCACCACCCAGGCCCGGTGTAATAATTGATCCCAGGGCAGCTGGGTGTTCCCAGGGGTCGTGTTGCCACTGGGTTGTGTTGGACGTTCAGCAGGGTTCTCTCTGTCTTCGCCCTGCCCATCACCCTGCGACTCGCGACTATCTTCACACTTTTCCCGGTGGAAGCGACTGACCGTCGCAAAAGCTATTGGAATCCGGGCGGCTGGGTGTTCCAAGAAGTCGTGTTGCCAACGGGTTGTGTTGGGCGGTCGGCAAGGTCCCGTCTGTCTTTTCCCTGCCCCTTCTCCTGTGGCTCGCGAGCCGTTTCGCTATCTTCCCGGTGTAGGTGAACGACCATCGCAGAATCTGTTGAAATCCGAAGCGGCTGGGTGTTCCCAGGGGTCGTGTTGCCAGCGGGTTGTGCTGGGCAATCGGCAAGTCCCCTCCGTCTTCTCCCTGCCCCTCACCCTGCGACTCGCGATTATCACCGCGTTCTTCCCGGTGGCGGCGACTGACCGTCGTAGAGTCCGCGTTCTCCTCTCCTCTCCTCTCCTCTCCTCTCCTCTCCTCCTCCCCCTCCTCCTTCATACCCCGTCATCGTCGTCATCACCATCACCATCATCATCATTATCATCATCATCATCATCATCATCATCATCATCGTTATCATCATCATCGTCATCATCAGCATCATCATCATCGCCATCGCCATCATCATCGCCGATATCGCCATCATCATCGACACCCATGTCGGCACACCCCTCATACTTTTCGTGGCCCCACAGGGAACTCCTCCGAAGGGCCCAGTGGCGCAGTCCGCATGCGTTCGCCACCCAATTCGGCACACCCCTCACACGTTTTGTGGCCCCATAGGGAGCTCCACCGAAGGCCCCAATGCCGCCGCCCGCATGCGTCCCCGCGCACCCACTTCGGCATACCCCTCACACGTTTCGTGGCCCTATAGGGAGCTCCACCGAAGGCCCCAGCGCCGCCGCCCGCCTGCGTCACGCACACCCAGTTCGGTACACCCCTCACACGCTTCGTGCCCCCATAGGGAGCTCCACCGAAGGCCCCAGTGCCGCCGCCCGCACGCGTCACGCACACCCAACTCGGCACACCCCTCAACCGTGGCCCCACATAGAGCTCCACCGAAGGCCCCAGCGCCGCCGCCCGTATGCGTCACGCACACCCACTTCGGCACACCCCTCACACGTTTCGTGGCTCCATAGGGACCTCCACCGAAGGCCCCAGCGCCGCCACCCGCATGCGTCACGCACACCCAAGTCGGCACACCCCTCACACGTTTCGTGGCCTTATAGGGAGCTTCACCGAAGACTCCAGTGCCGCCGCCCGCATGCGTCACGCACACCCAATTCGGCACACCCCTCACACGCTCCGTGCCCCCATAGGGAGCTCCACCGAAGGCCCCAGTGCCGCCGCCCGCATGCGTCGCGCATGCCCAATTCGGCACACCCCCCACACGCTTCGTGGCCCCATAGGGAACTCCACCGAACGCCCCAGCGCCGCCGCCCGTATGCGTCGCGCACACCCACTTCGGCACACCCCTCACACGTTTCGTGGCTCCATAGGGACCTCCACCGAAGGCCCCAGCGCCGCCGCCCGCATGCGTCACGCACGCCCACTTCGGCACACCCCTCACACGTTTCGTGGCCCTATAGGGAGCTCCACCGAAGCCTCCAGTGCCGCCGCCTGCATGCGTCACGCACACCCAATTCGGCACACCCCTCACGCGCTCCGTGGCCCCATAGGGAGCTCCACCGAAGGCCCCAGCGCCGCCGCCCGCATGCGTCACGCAGACCCAATTCGGCACACCCCTCACACGCTTCGTGGCCCCGTAGGGAGCTCCACCGAAGGCCCCAGCGCCGCCGCCCGCATGCGTCGCGCACACCCATTTCGCACCATGCGAGAAGGCGACGGGGCGGGGGAACGGCGCTCCGGGGACGGCCAGACCTCCGGGGCGCGAGCAGTTCGCAGCCATCCTTGGGTCCTGTGGACTCTCGCCCTGGCCGTGGGCTGCCCGGCGCGCTGCTCCCTCGGCCGACTTCGCCCAGGCGTGATCCTGGACTGCGGCCGCCACGAGGTCGGGAACGGCAAGAAGGAAGACGACGACTGGTGGCTGGAGCTCTACGCGCTGCTCTCGCGCGCCACGCGCCACGAGGGCCTCCTGCTCATGCGCGCGCCGCGCATCGAGTTCTTCCTGGCCGGGCCGCCGGAGGGCTTGCGCAAGCAGCTGGAACAGCTTGCGGCGCGCACGAAGCGGCGCAGGAGGGAGGCGACGGCCCTCGCCAGGGAGCCCGGCTTCACCGAATTTATCCGCGAGGCCTGACCTGAGGAACGGCCCGCCCCAGCCGCGCCTTCTCTTGGCGGTCCGACTGTTTGGACTCGCGCCGCGGACGACTCGCGCGCGTCGCTGGGGCCCTCTCGGGGCGATCAGCGCGCGTCGCGCAAACTCCGCGCTGCGCTCTGCCCAGCGCCTCGAGCGCCCCTCGCCGCTTTTCCAGCGGCCAGAGCCATGCGCGCTATCAGTTAGCCAGCAAGCACGGTCTGCCCCGCACAGCGGACGAACCGCGCGCGTCACTGCGACCCCTTCGGGGCGACCTGCGCGCGTCGCGAGGGCTCCGCGTTGCGCTGCGCCCGCAGCCTTGGACTTTGGAGCGCGCGGGCAAAGAGGCAAGAAAAGAAGGGGGGGAAGCGGGCGCGATCCTCGCGTGGAGCGCGCCGACATGGGCGTCGCGGCGCGCGGGCGCTGCCGTCGGGGTTCCCGGGGAAGCCCCCTGCGGAGGCTACGCTCAGCGTCGCGAG